TATATATATGTACATATATATATATATACATGTACATATATATATATATACATGTATATATATATATACATGTATATATATATATATATCTCCTCCGCCCGCTTCGCCTCCAAACCGCGGGTGGGACCTCCATCCGAGCAAACGCTGCGCATTAGCTGCTCGCTCTGCCGCCAGCGACTCCATTACAGATGCGCTCCGCATGATCTCGGAGTCTGCCGCGGTCTACCGTGGACCCGCTTGCTTCGACGCTGTCAGCGGCAAGCTCGTGGAAAAGGCGGGAGTCCAGTTCCGTTTCACGAGCGGAAGGTGTTTGCTCTCGGGCCTCACTGACTCGTTGCTTCTTGTCAGGGACGTGTTGAAGAGTTGCAGAGATTTGACTTCAGTTGTGTCTGGTCTTGCCTTCTTGTTTGTTGACTGTAGTGCATTAGGCATAAACGAAAGCTGGTGCTACTAAATGCAATCTTACTTTGGCCTCCACTTCCCTTTTAGTGTGAGTACTGCTCTGTAGGCTGAATCACATATCCCAATTAGTCCTGCTATGCCTTATGTTTCTTTACTGAATCTGTTTCAATCTCTGACTCTTAATGTTAATTACTCTTTCTTAGCAGCTCATAGCATAATACAACTCTCTGGAGGAAGTTACATAAGTCATGTCTTGCTTTTAGTTCCAATTGATCTCCAACTTATGAAAACACTCTCATTCTTGTTCCACTTGCTCCAGATAAGAGCCAAAAGTTGGTCCTTGGTAAGTACTTTTATATGTTACATCAATATCTGAATAGGATGCTGATATTTTATTCTGAGAAAACAGTTGTAGAATTCATCACCAGATTATGGTTTTGAACTTGTTGGTCCATGCTGTGTTGTTTCATGTTCCATCATGGTTGTGAGTAATGCAACTGGAAGCCCATTGCCTCTTTTGGTAGAATCACGTTCTTGCCATGCTCCAATTCTCACTCTGCAGTTTTTTAGTTAGTCAACGTCTGCAGGATTTGGTCTACTTTGGGTTAGTATAGAAGGAAGCTTAAGTATCATCACAACCAACATGTTCCTCTCTTACATGTTTTTCATTCCAAGCAATTAAATTGTTCTTTGTACAGTTGTTCTTCGATGCTTCTCTTTTGTCTTGACAATGATGACAATTCCTGTGAAAAATTTGTATATCACATTGTACTTGATGATACTAAATCCTTCTCATTTATCATTGTTGCTCATTTTTAACATATTATCTACTTTATGTTGATCTCACTTGCATGACATCATAAAAGCAAACTTATATCTTTTACTGTTTGATTCAGGTTTTTCATCTGAGTTCTTCCTCTTAACTTGTATATCATTATTTAGTTAATAAGCCATTTTATAGTTCCTCAAAGGATGATATACTTATCTCTGCTACCTGCTCACACTAATGGTAATGTTGAACTGATTTTGTTATTATAACATCATTACTATTAACTTGGCATTTCTTGGTATTGTGTTGTTCATCAGATTTTTTTTAGTTTAGCTGTTCTTTTGGGGTTGCCAGATATTGGTCATATATCCTATTATGGAGAAATGGTCATTCAAGGATGTCAAATTACCCAGGCCATAGCAATTCTTGTGATTAGAAATGGTGACAATGTATATAAAAATGCTATGAATGTCAGGAGTACAGTGAAAGGTTGCATTCAATCTGGCTTTGCAGGGATAATTCCTGAAGACTAGGTAAAGATTCTGCATTAGATTCTGGAGATCTTCCTTCTAAAGTGATTAGATTCAAACTTAAACATACTGAATTATATGTAAATGCAAGTAGAAAAATTTAATTATACTAGACAACGTTGCTTCTGCAATTATGAGTCTTTATGAATGGTTATCTCTCTCATTTGTTTTCTTCTACTTGGTTATAATGGGAGAGTCTTCTTTTTCTCTTTAGATGCTACTTTCTTACTCCAAGAAAGTGAAGATTGTGTTTGTCATAGTTAATGACTCATATACTGCTGTTCTCCTTGCTCCTGATAGATGCTATTGTTAAGGTGTCACCAAAGCTTGCGGTCATACTTGTGGAAGTAAGGTAGTTTCTGGAGAGGAAGTGGTACATGCATAAAAGCAACTATTGGGGTATGTAGGAAAATTGGCTGTGATATCATGATAGTAGCACAGGCTGATTCTTGCCATGCTACCTTTTGAGGAATCTCTAAAGTGATTGAGACCCTTTGCTGATGCTGGAGCTAATGTTCTATTCATCACTTGCTTCAGGGGAAGAGATGAAGGCCTTTGCAACATCCTCATTTACTTCCAAAAATGGTAAAATTGTTTGCACAGAGAAACTGGTGGCAATAGCAAGACAAAGGACCTGTTTGTGTTCGGAATCATATTGCATGTGCTCATCATTTTATCTTTAAGAACAAACAGCTATTTGTTCAGCAAAATAAGATTCTTAGTGGCCTCAAAATTCCCTCTGTTATACTTCAGATCATCATGAAGGTGAGTCAAATAGCTAATGTCAATTCATGTGCTTGGCATGTTATTGCAACAATGCATAGAAGGTCTACTTGGTCAACAACTTCCGTTCATGTGTAGCTGTAGAAGGCAATGGTTCAGGCTCTTATTATATGGTTTACTTGAATATCTTCAGGATGCCTTCCTGATATGTTTCTTCCTCTTGTTTGGGTTGTAATTGATAATTTTTTCATATAAGAAATTGATAACACCAGTTAGTTTTTTCTGTTTCTAAAATCCTTCAACTTTTGTTATGAAGCATATGGATTTCTTGGTACAATATTCTTTTCCTATTCTCAGGCTGGCATGCTTGAAGGTGGGGAAAGAACTCCAATGCTGAATCCTGTTGAACTTGAGGAGATTGGTTCCATGCTTGTGAGCTATCCAATATATTTGATTGGGATATCAATCTCAACACTGGAGGTACATTCTTTTAGTTTTAAGAATAGTCAACTTCTGTACTCTTTCTGTAATCTGGAGATAGATTTATTAATGGTTAGCAACATTTTCTAATGTGCTGCTTCTATGATCTTAGCTACCTCTGGTGTTCTTATTTTATGCACATTGAGATGCATGTCTTTTGGATCTATACCTTGTTATGTGCTTTTAGGTTCCTTTTAACTTTTTGATAATGTGTTGGTTTGTGGCATCGCTCTTCTTCAACATTGCCTTAATGGTAACCACAATATCCCGTTACTATAACAAGATATATGACACACTCACTTTTTTCATTGAGCATGAATGTTGGCGCATGGATGCCAAAAACTCTAGATACTCATGCATCTTGCTTATTTCTGTTTGTGTGAGGAATTTATCTCAGTTTAAACTTAGCAGACATCATACAGAATTAGCATTCCTAGTACCCATCTTGAGAGACAAGGGGCCAAAAGAACTAATAACATTGCTTGTATGAACTGAGAAAACTTTAGATGTTATTTTGACAACTTAGTGATGCAGATTCTGTTTAATATCATTTAAGTTATAAGAATGGATTAGTCATGGACAGATGCTAGATATTTCGTGCCCATTTTCATAAATATCAAGCTTTGATCATTTACTTCCTTTTGATACAGAAGACTGAATAAGTTTAACCCGAACAACTACTAGACTAGAAAACACATGTGATAAATCATATGATTAATCATGTTGACTTTAATAAGGGTCAGTGATTTAAAAAGCGCTAGGCGCCAAAAGGCGCTAAGGTCCAAAAACGCCCGAGGCGCTAGGCGCTCGCTCGACCGAAGCGAGGTGTTAAAATATAAAAATATATAATATAATTAATAAATATAATTATTTAAAATTTTAAATAAAAATATGCTATTAAATTTAAAAAATCTAAGATACAAAATCATAATGTCACATTAACAAAAAGTTTTAAAATTCAAAATAATATATTATTAATCTAATAAATACAAATACTATTATTAGTATACTGTTAATAGTATATAGAAGGAGAAGAAGGAAGAGGAGTGTAAGGGGGTGCTGACTGAGAAAAGAGGAAGCGGGAGCGGGAGCGGGAGCAGGAGCGGCGAGCAGCGAGCGACGACAGCAGCAGCGGTAGCGAGTAGCGACAGCGGCAACGAGCATGGTTAGGGTTGGGTAGCGACAGCTGATATCGATGCTTTAGTTGGTTCGATTGAACCAACTAAAGCACCGGAGACGAACCATACCTAAAACGCTGGTTCGGTCGCCTGGTTTAACCCATGCGCTCGCCCGAAGCGCCCAGCGCCTGGGCTCGGGCGAGCGCCCAGCGCCTAGGCTGGCGGTGCCTCTTTGAAGCGCGCCGCCCGGAAGTGAAGCGAGGCGCTCGGGCCTCTCCTCGCCTCGCCCGAGCACCTAGGCGAGCGCCCGAGCACCTTTCTAAATCACTGATAAGGGTCATAATATCAGGCCTATATATTGCTAAATCTATGTTATGATCCATTTATTTTCTAAGCTTTGAATAATGTTTTATTGAGTCCAAGTCCTAGTGGACTCTGGGTGGAACTCTATAAATAGGGATGTATCTGTTTCTTTTCGGCAACCAATAAAATATTATTCCAGTCTTCTAACAAACCCTAGGAGGTCGATCCTCTTAAAGTGATCATCCCCTTTTATCCATTTTCTTCAATGATAAAACCCTAGGGTCTTATCATTTGGTACTAGAGCAACGATCCTTAGCGTTCTCGTTGCAATTTCTTACAATACCTCACCGTAGCTCTCATCATCTCAAAAAAAAAAAAAAGAGAAAGAAAGAAAGAAAGAAACAGCAGCCACGCCCATCCTTCTCGCAACGAGAAAGGGCTGCTGCTTCCCGACCAGCGACCACCGCCGCCGCTGCTTCCCGGCCAGCAACCACCGTCGCCGTAGTTCCCTGGATAGTGGACCACCGCCATCCTACTAGAGCAAGAAAGGGTTGTCGTCGTTGTTTACCGGCCAACGAACCATCCCCCTCGTCGATCCCAACCCTCGGCGACCATTGGTGACGTTACTCCCAACCGTGCCACCATCGCTGCCAGCCACCGCAGCCTTGTCCTCAACTACTCGCGATCCTTCGACGTCACCAGTCGACCCTCTACTGTCGCAGTTGTCGGTTGCCACCACTGCTTCCTCTGCGCCACCGGCATCGACAACAGCCGCTGCAGCCTTGTCCTTAACCACTCGCGATCCTTTGGCAACACCAGCGTCTTTTTCTGCGGTGCGATAGAAATAGAGCACCCTCTACTACCGCAGCCGCTGGTGCCTCTACTGCCGTAGTTGCCTGTTGCCACCACTGCCGCCTCTCGACCCTTGTCAACGTCGCCTCCCAGCTACGCCCTCAACACTGCCTCGGTCGACACCAGCCTCCCAGCCTTGACAGTAGTTTTGACAGCTACTCCCAACCGCACCACCGCAGCCACACGCGCAGCCACCCTCACAACCGCTCCCCCCACCGACGCCGTCGCTTTCCAGCCCCCGCAGCCTCAGTCCCTACAGCCTCACCCCACGCAACGACAGAAATAGGGCAGCAACTTTTCCTCCTTGCAGCGACAGCAACAAGCCTGTACGTTGCCCTCGGCATCTGCTTCCTCGGCAGCTTCGCGTTCCCTTACGCCCTCAACGCTGCCACAGGCCAAACTTCACAACAGCCACACCGAATAGTGCGATACTAATGCCCTTGACCCGACACCAGAAACAAGAGTTGGAGATTACAGATTTGTAGTCTTACGCAATGGCTATCGACAACTCAGTGAAACCCCAACTAGCCTTGGAAACCATAATTGAGAATCGGTTGCAAGAAACCCTTAACGATCTTAAAAAGAGTCTATTGGAGAGCTTTAGCAAGTTTCAACAAGATGAAAGTTAAAGTCTTACATTGAACCGATCTAGAGACACAGGAAAAAAGGAATCAAGAACAGGACACAAGCTACCCACGCATGAAGGTGGAATTCCTAAGATGGGAAGATGGAGATCTCACCAGTTGGATCTCTAAAGCAGAAATTTTTTTTCGTTTTCACAAAACTCCAGAAGAATCCAATGTGGAAATAACTTCAATCCAACTAGATGGAGATGTAATATAATGGTATGATTGATATGAAACTTGTCATGGGGTTCCCTCGTAGGAACAATTCAAGAGAGGGTTTCTCGTTCGCTTTGGACCATCTGAATATAAGAATGTTGATGGGTAGCTTGCTAAAATTCATCAGATTTCTACAGTGCTACAATATCAGAGTAGATTTGAACGATTGTCAAATTAAGCCAGAGACTGGTCCAAACGACAACTGGTGGGAACATTTATTGAAGGACTTAATTCAGATATCCGATGTGAAGTCAAAGCTCGCCAACCCCGCACAATGACAGCTGCAATCTCATTTGCACGTTTGCATGAGGAAAAAATCATCAGAGAAAATCGTCGAAATAGAAGTGACAACAAACAGATGATTAGTAAGCCACCCGCCCTATCTATTCCCAACTAAAACCCTAACACCCAAAGACTAAACCGAGAAGAACTCAAGGAAAGATCAATGAAGGGTTTGTGCTGTCACTATGATGAAAAGTGGAGTAGGGAGCACCGATGTAAACAAGGGCAACTTCTAATGATTGAACAAATTGGAGAGGAACCAGAAACTAATAATGTGGACTCCGATCATGAAGGTATGGATTCTGATGAAGATGTTGGACCTATCATACATATAGTGCATGCATTAGCCGGCTACTCTAACCCGCAAACTATGAAAGTTGGAGGAACTTTGGAACATCAGCATGTTACAGTTTTGATTGATACTGGTAGCACTAACAATTTTATGTACAGTAAGGTTGCTGACCAATTGGCCTACCACATTGAAGGATATGACAAATTCGAAGTAAAGGTTGTTGATGGACAAATTTTAACTTATGATAGCAAATGTTTGAATTGATTATACAGGGCCAAGAGTTGCTTTTGGACTTCGTTTTGCTACCCTTGGAAGACTTCAAAGTGTTGCTTGGAATTGAATGGCTATCAACCCTGGGTGATGTTTCTTGGAATTTTTCTAATCTAATCATGAAGTTTTTTATTAATGGAAAGCAGACGATCCTAAAGGGAAGACGTGGAAGTAAGGTCACAACTGCCACTAGCCATCGGATAGAGAGAGTTCTTCATAAGACTGCAACGACTACTACACTGAAAGGCCGACCTTATTGCTTACACTATCAAAAAGTGGAGATCGTACTTACTTGATCAACGGGTTGTGATGCGTCGTAGATACCTTGTGACTGAAGTGTTGAAAGAGAAATTCCCCGAGTTTGATGCTGCATAACCTCGAGGAAAAGGCTGATTTGAAGGGGAAGGAATTATTATGATCCCTTTATTTTCTGAGTTTTGAATAATGTTTTATTGAGTTGGTCTAGTTCAATAAAAGTTAGATAGGGGTTTATTTGATATTTATTTATTTATTTATTTGTTTATTAAGAGTTCAAGTCCTAGTGGACTCTAGGTGGAACTCTATAAATAGGGATGTATCTGTTTCTTTTAGGTAATCAATGAAATATTATTCCAGTCTTCTGACAAACCCTACGATGTTGATCCCCTCGAAGTGATCAAGGAGGCCGATCCTCTCCAAGTAATCATCCCCTTTTCTCCCCTTTCTTCAATGATAAAACCCTAGGGTCTTATCAATCTACTTGTCATTGTTGCTTGGATGCATTGCCTTGAAAGAAAATAAGATAATGTACATACAAAACTCAAGGATATCATTGCTGTTTGATTTTATTATTTCTCCTTCATGAACATAGTTTAAGATAACAGCTGAAGATGATTATTGCTGATGAGAAATATGTAGTATGTTAAATTGTCAACAATAAAATATTTGTTATTTTTCATATATTATCTATTATCATGATGTCGTCGTGTCCTCCATGCAAAGTACAATGGGCACCCTTGAATAATAGGCTGCTATGGTCTCTTTTCTGCTTTTAGGAATTTTATGAATGAAATGTTGACTGTTGCAGAGAAGATCAAGACACTATGACACTATTAGCTGAAAATTCTCCAAAAGGATTTCATGATCTTTCTATGAAGTTTCCTCACATTCTTGTACATGAATGGAAAAGATAGATAGTATCCATCAACACTTTATACACATCCAGGTCAACCATGTGGAGCCAAATTTACTCCCCATGTAAACATCTCATCCTCAGGACCATAAGAACAGGATTATGTCTTTCTATGTTATAGGCCAACTTATTGTATGCATACAGAGGTAGTTACCAACTGCAACTGGAACAAGTTGCTGGTCTTCCTAAGATTTTGACTTGCAAAAGTCCTTGCCACCTCAGATTTTGTGGAAATAAACTTACTTGAAGGTCAAGGCAAAATTAACTGATGATTCTTATAAGGTTTTCATAGTTCTAAGAAGCTTCGTCAGAACATGTACGTAGGGAATTGATATGGTGCATAAACACTTATGCACATCCAATTTAAACAGAGGGAGTCAAATCTACTCCCATGTAATCATCTCAAACCCCTGGCCCATATGAACTGGTTGACATTAGTCTGTTTTTGGCCTACTTATGGTATCTGTGACAAAATTGCACAAATGACCCTTGGAATTATTTGATTTTTTGTAGTTTTATCTCTAAATTCAAGTTTAGCATACTTACATCTCAGCAAAACCCAAAAACTATATAATGTTCTTGTAGTTGTTCTCTAGTAACTAACTTTAGCCATCATTTATCTGTTAGAATGGAGTCATTGGAATTTTAATTGACATTATTATTTTTTAAGAAGCATTATGATGGTAAGAATTTTAGGTATTTAGATATTGTATATATTTTCTAATAATTCTAAATTCCAATTAGCCACTGGTAGACATGGATAGTAGTGGGTTTTGGATGGATTTTAATTGGAGATGTCTACAGTGAGGATCCTAGTTTTTTGGGAACATGTATGCTATTATATATTGGAACTTGTAGGCGCAACTATAATTTTCCGACTTTGCAAGCACAAATATGTAAAACTCCTAGGATATACCTGTGGCTCAGATGCAGCAGTAGCTTCCGTAAAAAAGGTACAACCTTGCTGCTGCAGGGAATTCAACTGATCTCTCTTAAACAGTTACTGTTGCTAACATTGATTTGATACATCCCAGGTTGGTGTGGAGCAAGTAATACCATACCAGTGGCAAAAACTCTGGAAGCCATCTCTAAGACTACAACAGCAGCCTTTTGAAGCTGAAGATTGCTGCTCATGGTCGGTTTGCAGCCTCTGCCGGTCTCACTTTGGTAAGCTCAGGTTGCTGCACAAGATGCAATAAACAAATGGTGGCTGTGGTCAAAAGAAAGGAAAAAGAGAGGGGCTTTGCATCCAAAGAAGAAACACTTTCAGTTACGTTCCACTTGGTCAGTAAAGCAAGGCAGGCATTGATTTCCATAAAGGACACGAGAGAGAGAGAGAGGCCGAGGAATGGAATTCTGGGCTAGATGCAGTGAAAGAGGCCAAGCTAAAGCAGTAAACCTAATTGTGTGGCTGCTGCTTATAGAAGAATTGTGTATTCAAATCCCAGAGGACCAAGCTATAGACGAAGACAAAGATCAGTCAAGGGCTGCTGCTGAACCTGGCTGATGCAATCCACTTCAGCCTTCCAAGTATTATAAGGCTTCTTAGTCATAGTATAACACAGACAATTTGGTGAGATGTTACAAAAATCTCCAATCAGAACTCTGTCACAAAAAAAAAAAAACACCAAAAAGAAAGAAAAGGAGGCAACAGCAGCAACTTGTTAAAAAGAAGGGAGAATGAACTTTCTCAACCACTATTATGCTGCACTGATGGGTGAAGATCTGACGGCAGGTTTAGCTGTATTGAGTAGTTGCATCAAAATCTAGTGGCATCATCCTCAGTTGGAACCTCTACTTTGTTCCTGACAAACTCGAGCAAGTTCCCTTCTTTTTTAGTGTTTCTGAAACGTCCATGGAAGCACAAGATCTCACAAAACTTGCCTGGAAGCTGACACGAGGTATGAGTACATTGGAAGCCAGGCTAACCTTCTCTGGCCTCGCAATCTTCCAAGCTCCAAAAACTATATCAAGCCAGTACTACAATAAAGCTTCTTTCACCAACCTTTGCAAGACACAGCTAAGGCCATGGCCAATAATTGCGCATCAGATTGTATCAGATAACAGAGGTGAGATATAATACAGTTTTCTGTTCCCCACTGCTCTCACTGCCTACCTCTCATCTCTTCATCCTGTGAGCTGTTGCATGTACGACGATGGACACGCGTGACGTGTCTACTCTTAGGTTCATTCATTACGTAACCACCTCCCTCACACTTGCGTTTGGACCTCATCGCGGTGTCCCTTTATCTTGGTGAACTAATTCCGTATCTAGATGGCTGTTTCCGTCAGGTTTGCAAGATTTCCGCGGGTCCCACCCGTGTAGAGGAGTACACGTGGAGGACGGGGTGGTCGAAGACCAAGATTTGCGGCCGTGGTCAACAGATCCGACGGCTGTGTTCGTCCCCGACACGATCGGACGGCCAGAGGTCGACCCCTTCGCGGCGCGGAATAAAGTAACGAGCGACGAGGGAAAGTGGGGGAGCGAAATGTCGGCGTTCATAAGGAGACTTGGCGGGCTTTCCTTTTCTCGAGAGAGTACAAGTCAACTGGCGATGGCATGCTCCAATCCATGTGTCGCAGGGCAGTGTCTTTCATGGATTTACACTCCTGCCGCACAATCTGTCGCAACCTTGGCAAGTGCGAGCCGTAACGCAGGTGATGAAGAGAGGCTAGGGGAACAAATCACCAATGGCGGAGTGGTAGGGAGCCCGACCGACCCATTGACAAAAAGAAAGGTCAGGAAGAAACCCAGTCAAACCCTCGCCAAACACGCTCTCCCATTTTATATTCACCGGTTGGTTCTGTCTATATAATCTGAGACACTGCCCTTCGTGCCTGTTTGCACCGCCCTCATGGCTTCCTCCACCGTCTCCATGCCCAAGCAGCATCTGGCCCTGCGGAACCCCCGGCCATGCCGGCCTCGCCCCGGGATGTCTGTCGCCGCGCCCCGGCGGACGCCGTCGGCCGCCCCGGTGCTCCGGTCTCGGCCGGACAGGGCACGGGAGGCGACGAGCCGCCTGGCTAGCGTGTGGAGGAAGATCCAGGGCGCCGACGACTGGAACGACCTCGTCCAGCCGCTGAGCCCGTTGCTGCGCGAGGAGATCGTCCGGTACGGGGAGTTCGTCATGGCGTGCTACAAGGCGTTCGACCTCGACCCGGCGTCGCAGCGCTACCTGAGTTGCAAGTACGGGAAGCGCCGCATGCTGGAGGAGGTGGGGTTGGAGTCGTCCGGATACGAGATCACCAAGTACATCTACGCGACGCCGGACATCAGCATCCCCATGCAGCACGGCACCTGCTGTGGCCGGTGGATCGGGTACGTTGCGGTGTCGTCGGACGAGGAGGTGAGGCGGCTGGGGCGGCGGGACGTGCTGGTGACCTTCCGGGGGACCGTCACCAGCACCGAGTGGATCGCCAACTTCATGAGCTCGCTGAGGCCGGCGAACCTGGACCCGCACGACCCCCGGATCGACGTGAAGGTCGAGTCGGGGTTCCTCAGCCTGTACACCTCCGACGACAGCACCTGTAGGTTCGGCCAAGGGAGCTGCCGGGAGCAGTTGCTCGGGGAAGTGTCCCGGCTCATCAACAAGTACCAGGACGAGGAGATGAGCATCACATTGGCCGGACACAGCATGGGGAGCGCCCTCGCCCTCCTCTCCGGGTACGACCTCGCCGAGCTCGGCGTCAACCGGTTCCAGCGGCAGCGGGAGATACCGATCACGGTGTACTCGTTCGGAGGGCCGAGGGTCGGCAACACCGGCTTCAAGGAGAGGTGCGAAGAGCTCGGAGTGAAGGTCTTGAGGGTGGTGAACGTCCATGATCCGGTCACCAAGCTGCCCGGCCTGTTCATGAACGAGCACTTCCGGGCTCTCGGCGAGACCTATCAGCTCCCATGGAGCTGCTCCTGCTACGCTCACGTTGGAGTCGAGCTCGCCCTCGACTTCTTCAAGATGCAAAACCCTGCGTGTGTTCATGACCTGGGGACATACATAGGGCTACTCAAGTGCCCCAAGATGGTTCAAGTCCACAAGGAGGGCATGGTGGATCTGCTGGCAAAGGCAAAGATGACTTTCAGGAAGCACAAGTTACAGGGATGGCCATGGCAAGATGCAGCAATGCAAGTGGGGAATCTGGTGCAAACTCTGGGACTAATTTGAGGCCCAATTCTGTGTTGTGGATGGGGGGAGTAGATGATCCATTAATCCCTCATAATTTTTGTTCCCAGGGGTTAGGGGTTATCTTCAGAGATCTTTGCAGACAATTCTTTGTAATTTATGTTTGTTAACACACTGTAAACAAGTTGTCATACATTCATATACACACACATAAGAAGATAATTCTTCAACTTCTCTCAAAGATTTATGATTGACCTTTTTTTATGATTGTGTTTTAGCATTCAAATAGGAATATACTAAAATTAACTGAGGGACATGAAACAGTTTATGCTTCATGTGTGTTCTTGTGATATCAATGAATACAACGCCAGCTAAATCTTCTGATTCCCACCGACGCTTAGTTTCATACTATGAGTTTTGCACACACATGTTAATTTTTTTTCAACTACAATAGTTACAGAAGTCATCCTCTAATTTGACTTTCCAGTTCTTCCTTGTGAAGAGAGGTCAAAGCTGAGCTTACGTTTCCTTTGTTCGACTCCTACCAACAAGTTCAGTTGCTTCTTAGTAATTTGCAATCTGTAATCCTATATATATATGTGTGTGTGTGTGTTGCATGACTTCCTACGAGATGAAGTTCTATATCAACATTTGACTTTACCATCACCAAGTGACATGATGATGAAATCAAAAAAATGAACTGAAAATTTTCACAACTCTTCTTCAATAAAGCATAACTATGTCCGCAAACATCCTTTTGCAAGGGAATGTGTTTAACATGTAGTAATTATACTTCCATGGTTCTTCACTTCTTCCATATTCTTTAATCTATAAGTTAACACTTTCATCGTATTCTCAGCACTTTAGGCTATTAAAGTATAGAATATGGAAGCCCTTCTTTAACTACTGAGAATATTCTTACAGATCGTTACATGCTCTTTCGGTCTTTTTTTGACTCCTTAATCTTCTTCTAATGACGTGCTGAGTAATTAACAAACGAGACTTAGCTGCCATATACATTCTTACAGATTCCACCGGCCAATCCGTTAGGTAAGGTTGTGAAGATGCAAAGTGGAGAGAAAGCGATGAGGAAAAGAAAAGCTCATGTGTTCTTTCTGACAGACACCACCGGCCAATCTTCCCTTGGAGACGTACGAAGCCAAACTGTGGGCACAATTGCATTCACCTAATCATTGAAACACCCTTCCATCAAGCGTCATTCTTCAAAGTGTAGTTTTGTCTTAGCCTTTCGGATAAAAGGACAGCAGATCTACTGAAAACTTATTGATGACACGACAGACGAGACATCCACCATGCTTGGAGGACCACAACATATCTTGCATGTCATCCATTGGCCAAGCAAAAGTCTCAGAGAGAGAGAGAGAGAGAGAGAGAGATGCGGCACTGCATAGGTTTCAGACTCGTGAATCACATATATGATGAGCTCAATCAAAGAGTCGGTACAACAAGTTGGGAACGTGAGAATATAATAATATAATAAAGGAAGAAAGTTGATTGTGGTGAACAAGTTCTTTAATAGTAAGTGTGTGATGTTTGTCACCAGTGAATCAAAGAGAAGAGGACCAAATCTAGTGCTCTACATCAGTGAAAACAAATAAAGAAACAGAAAGTGAAATAATAGATAGAATATATGTGGATTTGTCTCATGTGATATCAACACCCAACTAACATGAGGAATCATTTAGTAATATTTATCTACTTTGTTATCAGTGTGACCTCTCCCTCTCTCTCTCTCTCTCTCTCTCTCTATAGAGTCGATTATTCCTAAAGACAATGATTTGGGTTTGGGCTTAGACTTGAGCCTAAAGAACCTGACATCTAAGCCTACTTAAGCCCAAATTATTGGTCTTTTGGAAAGTCCTACATACGAGATGGTCACTATTCAACAACTTTATTATTTACTTTATAACAATAATAATAAAATCATAAATCTCAACTATTTAGGATTGTCTATATAGATCTTTTGTTATCATTTTAGATCTTTAAAAAATCATATGTTTAGTTAAGTATATATATATATCTTTATTTATAGTTTCTATTAAGATTTTTTATCTTCATCGATCTATCATCATACCACTAATATTAATTATTTTATTTTTTTTACTATCGTATTTAGAGGTCCTCTTAACATATACTCATACCATCGTAAATGATTTTCTATTATCTTATCATTTATAGAAACGATACCTAGTTGTTCATAAAAAAAAAAAAATTCTATTTTTTTTAGTTACTCTACATATACATCTCAATATTCTTATCTCGACAATATAAATTTTTTGTATATGTTTTTTTATGACTTCCAATACTCGAATCCATAAAGTATCATTAGTCACACAACTATTTTATAATATTTTTTTAATCTCAAATGTATCTAATGATCACATAAGACTCTTGACATCCCTCATCATTTAAACCATTCTATTTTTTACTTTATGAATAATATCTTCATTAATTTCTTTATCTTGTTGAATAATTAATCCAAGATACTTATAAACTTTTACTTAAATAAACTTCTTGTCCATCAAATTTAACTATATTCTTATATCTATTTCTAGACTCACTAAGATTATATTTTATATATTTAAATTTAGTTCTACTTAATATAAAACTTTTAGTATCTAAGCTTACCTCTATTGCTTAAGTTTAAAATTAATTTCACTTAAGCTTTTATCAATTAAGATAATATCATCAATAAAGAACATACACTAATAAGGTTTATCATAAAAGTGACTAGTAAGTTGATGCATTATTAATATGAAAAGGTATGAACTTAATATGGATTCTTGCTGTAATCCTATACTAATAGGAAATTCACTACATATACCCTCTATAATTCTAATACTAGTAATTATATTATCATATATTTATTTAATAACATCAATATAATTAGTAGATATTTTTTTTTCTTCTAAAATCCACCACAATAAATCTCTAGAAACCTTATTATAGACTTTCTCAAAGTCAATAAAAATTATATGCAAATATTTCTTTTTCTCCCTATACTTTTTATTAATTATCTTAGTAAATAAATAGCTTCTATAATTGATCTTGTAGGTATAAAACTAAATTACTTTTCAGAGATATTTATTTCAAGTCTTATCTTACTTTGGATAATTTTTTCTAGGGTTTTATAATATGTCTCATGATTTTAATTCCTCTACAATTTGAATAATTTTATATTTCACCACCCTTATTTTCATAAATAGGTATTAAAAAATTTTTCTTCATTCATCATATATCATTCTAAATCTTATGATTATGTTAAATAATTTAATTAACCAAGATACTTCCTTATCCTCTAATCTTTTTCAAATCTCAATAGGAATACTATAAAACCCCACACTCTTAACTATTTTTATTTTTCTTAATACGTCTTTTACTTCATTAGCTTTAATTTTATAAATAAATATATAATATTAAATTTATCACTATTATTTATCATTAATTTTAAGTCATGAATGGAATATTCATTAAATAATTTATAAAATAATTTTTTATCTTTCCTTAATCTTGTCATCATTAACAAGTATTGTTTGATTTTTTTCTTTAATACATCTAATATTATCTAAATTCTTATACTTTCTTTCTCAAGCTTTAACAATTCAATATGTATCTTTTTTTACCATATTTAGTATCTAGTTTATTATAAAAATTATCATAAGCTTTCTATTTTATCATACTAATAAGTTTTAGTTTCTTTTAGATTCTTTATTTTTTAAATTTTGTTCATATTTAAAACATGATCTTTTAGTAAAAATTATTTTTTGAGCTTTCTCACACCATCACCAACTTCTTATTAAGTTTATATCTCTACCTTTAATTTCACCAAAGGTCACTTTTGTTAAGATCCTAATTCTAGTTCAAATAATATTATTATGATCCTTATCTAAATTCTAAGTTGTCTCTCTTTCCATCTTATTTTTAAAAGTGTTCATATTATCATTTTTAAAATTTCACAATCTAGTCCTAGTAATTTTTTCTATTATCTTTTTCTTCTTTTATTTTCTATAATAAATATCTAATACCATTAACTTATGTTGATTCGTCTAACTTTTGCCGGATATAACTTTATAATTCTTATAAAGATCTTTGTTTATCTTTCTAGTAAGAAAAAATATCTATTTGATTATGGTTGTGACTACTATTATAAGTAATTAAATATTTATCTTTCTTTTTAAAGTGAGTATTTATAATTATTAGATTATATGGAGTTACAAAATCTAAAATCATATCACAATCTTTATTTCTCTCCCCATGACCAAAGCTCACATGAACCCTTTATATTCATCATATGTTTTCTCTATATAACCATTCAAATCTCCTCTAATTATAAGTTTTTTTATTATAGGTATTCCTCGAATGATATTAACTGAGCTTTCTCAAAATTCTCTTTTGTTGTACAAAGCATGGACAAAACGGAAAGACATAAATATATATGAGCATTACATCAAACACATCATTTACAATTTTGTCCGTGATATTCTTCCCTACTTATTCTTTCGATGTCCTCGTCAAAACCTTTGTAGATGTTGCATCTCCTAGCTTTTGCTAAGTCTTTAATCTTCTGCTCCAGTTGCAATATACTTCTTGGCTCCCAACTACACTCTACTGCTATTGTTGAGTAGTCGAACTTTGATCCGCTATGCTGCTTCAACTAACTAATGACTCTAACTTTGGTGTGGGGTCAATTGAGTTGTGCTGATCCCTGTTGTTTCTTACGAATATCTCAGATAAAGGAAAAGACCATCCTTAGTATGCGTTAGTCTCTCAAATACCTTATACTACTTAAACAAGGTGGATGCTTATTGAAGCTTTAATGAGCATCGCCTCGCAGACTTTAAAGTTTTTGGGTCCTTCCTCCGTAAAATTTTTCCATCGATTCTTCTTCTACTTAGTCGTAATTTCCAAGTATGTTCGCATCACTTTCACTTTTGATTGACATTCTATTGGAAAATGAAGTGGATAATCCACTTTCCGTAGTACTGATCACCATTGGTGAGGATTTGACAACTATAATCTTCCATGAGGTTTCTTCGAAGGGTCTTTGAACCTGTTTAGAGCTCTTCTGCTGGATAAATAAGAG